CCAAAGGCAAAAACTTCTCAAAAAAAAAAAAAAAATTCACGCTGGAACATTTGTGTGTGCCCAAAACCTCAAGGGATTGTGGTGTGGCCATTCCCCCTGGGAGGTTACTTCTCGCTTTCTGTCTCCCTGAGCACATGTGCCCTGTAGTAAAAAGTCTCTCTTTAAAAGAAGGGGGAAAAAATTGTTTTGGTAGGGCCAGTATGTGGCCTGGTGGTTAAGATGGTTGGATTCCTACATGGCTGACTGTGGTTTGAGTCTCAGACCTGGCAGCTTGCTTTCTCACTTTCCTTCTTTCTCTGTCTCTCTCTGGTCAACTTCAAAAATAAATTAATTAAAAATAAGGACAATGAACAAAATTAGATCATTCTTTTTTTAAAAAAGTTGTTTTGGGGACCAGCAGTTAGCATAATGGCTATGTTGCTGGACTCCCATGTAGTCAACCACGGTTCAAGTCCTGGACCCAGTGGCTTAAACTCACGCCAGGTGTGTGTACATGCCCAAGATCCCAAGAGGAGAATGAAGGAGAGAGAGAAGGCATTGCAGCGTGGCCATCCCCCCTGGGGGGTGATTTCTCGCTTTCTGTCTGTCTCTCTCTGGCGAGTGCATGCGCCCTGTAGCGAAAACCTCTCCCCCCCAAAAAAAAAAATTTCTTTGGGTATAGGGCCAAGTCACTTGCCAGAGGGACAGAGAAAGGCAGTGAGAAATCACCTCCTGGGGGGATGGCCACCACGCAGTCAGTCCCTTCTTCATTCTCCTCTTCGTATTTGGGCACGCATACACATGTACCAGGCATGAGTTTTAAGCCACCAGGTCTGGAACTCAACCTGCAGTTGACTACATGGGAGTCCAGCGATGTAGACATTATGCCTCACTTGCCAGAGGGACAGAGAAAGGCAGTGAGAAATCACCTCCTGGGGGGATGGCCACCACGCAGTCAGTCCCTTCTTCATTCTCCTCTTCGTATTTGGGCACGCATACACATGTACCAGGCATGAGTTTTAAGCCACCAGGTCTGGAACTCAACCTGCAGTTGACTACATGGGAGTCCAGCGATGTAGACATTATGCCACCTGCTAGTCCCTCCAGCATTTTCATTATACCCCCCTGAATTTAGAGAAACTCAAAAAGTGTTTAAAAAGATATCTTTCCGTCTTAACCCCAGAATTGGGCTCTTCAGATGACAGCGGGGAAGGAAAGAATCTCTTGAGTTACGCTTAGGATGTAAAGCCTTCCCTACCTAAAAGAAATGGAATAAATAAAAGTTAACCATAGGGACCAGCCGGTGGTGTGGTGGTGAAGGCACTGGACTCCCACATGGCCAACTGCACTTTGAGTCCTGGACCTGGCAGCTTGCTTTCTCATTTTCCCTTTTTCTTCTGTCTCTGGTGAGTGCACGTGCCCTGGAGCAAATAATGATAAATAAAATGAATTTGTTTTTAAGAAGGTTTTGCCTTGGGACCAGCAGTTAGCGTAATGGCTATGTTGCTGGACTCCCACGTAGTTGACCGCGGTTCACGTCCCGGACCCGGTGGCTTAAAACTCACGCCAGGCACATGTGCGTGCATGCCCAAGATCCCGAGAGGAGAATGGAGAAGGGATTGCAGCGTGGCCATCCCCCCTGGGAGGTGATTTCTTGCTTTCTGTCTCTCTGTCTCTGTCTGGTGAACGCACTATAGCAAAAACCTCTCAAAAAAATATAAAGGTTTTGCCTTAGGGTGCTTGTTCTTGCCAGGAAGAGAGAGAGAGAGACTGTGTGAGGGAAAGTGAGAAATCACCCCCTGGGGGGATGGCCATGCTTCATTCTCCTCCTGATAATCTTGGGCACACATGCCTGGGATGAGTTTCAAGCCACTGATTTCAGGATTTGAACCATGTAGTCAGCCATGTGGGAGTCCAGCGCCATCTGGTGGTCCCAAATAATTTTTTTAAGAAAAAATTTTTAAATTTTCTTACATTTTTAGAGAGATTTTTGTTATAGGGCACATGCACTTGCTGGAGCGACAGCAAGAAATCACCTGTATAGGAGGATGGCTATGGCGCAATTCCTTCTCCTCTATTTTCCTCTCTGGATTTTGAGCATGCATACACACACATCTGTGTGTGTGTTCTCCAGCAGCGCTGAGAAGCTTTCTCCCTGTAACACCCTTTACATTAAGCCACCGGATCCAGGACTCGAACTATAGTCAACTATATGAGTTCAATGACATAACCATTACACCATCTCCTGTCCCATTTTGTTTGTTATTATTGTCTATTTGTTAGGATTTTTCAAGCTGCTGGGTCTGGGGGATCCAGCAGTTAGCGTAATGGCTGTATTACTGGACTCCCACATAGTTGGCCGCAATTCGCGTCCCAGCCCTGGTGGCTTCAAACTCACGTCGGGCGCATGCGCGTGCGTGCCCAAGATCCTGAGAGGAGAATGGAGGAGAAGGGATTGCGGCGTGGCCATCCCCCCTGGAGGGTGATTTCTCGCTTTCTGTCTCTCTGTCTCTCTCTCTCTGTCTGGCAAGCACACGCGCCCTATAGCAAAAAACCTCTCAAAAAATAAATAAATAACCACCACACCACCGGGTCTGGGTCAAACTGCAGTTGGCCATGTGGGATTCTAGTGCCTTAACCACCACACCACCTACTGGCCCAAATAAATAACTATTTAAAAAGATGACTGTAGTGGTAGCTAGCTTCACAGTGCTGAAACTTGCACCTCAGGGATGCCAACTGCAGAACCAGAATCTTCTTGTATGTATCCTAGGCGATAAAAGATTTAATTGCTGTTTTCAGATACTTGTTTTTAATTAAGTTTTTGCCTTAGGGCATGTGCTCTTCCCAGAGAAAGAGAGACAGTGAGAAATCCCCCCCTCCCAGGGTTGGCCATGCTGCAATCCCATTTCCTCTATTCTGCACGTGTATGCACATGTAGGGGTGTGATTTTCAAGCCACTGTCAGGGACTCAATCCATGGTCGGCCATGTGGGAGTCCAGCAAGGTAACTGCTACGCCATCTGCTGGTCCCCAGATACTTGTGTTTTTGTTTTGTTTTGTTTTCAATTTGAACAGTTTCTTTAAAAAATAATTCTTTTATTTAACTTTATTTTAATTTGTCTAGAAAGGGACAGAGCAAGAGCGAGAGCAAGAGAGAGAGGAGAGAGGGAAAGTGAGAAAGCAAGCCGCCAGGGTTAGCACTTGAAACACAGTCGGCCATGTGGGAGTCCAGTGCTCTTAACCACCACACCACCTGTTGGTTCTGATACTTGTTTTTGGTTTGTTTTGTTTTTAAAAGAATTAACTTCATTTTATTTATTCATTTATTTTAATTTGATGAGAGAGAGAAAGTTGAGAAAGCAAGCCACCAGGTCTGGGACTCAAACCCTGTTTGGCCATGTGGGAATGTCCAGAGTCTTCACCACCACACCACCTGCTGGTCCCATCCAATACTTGTTTTTGATGGAAGAAGAAGACAAGGCTGCTGAGGTGTGAAAGCCACGTAGGCTCCGCAGTAAACTTCACAGAGCCACGTGTAGATGAATGTGTATGTCCCGCCCCGAGGAGTTGTGTTCTCCAGCAGCGCTGAGAAGCTTTCTCCCTGTAACACCCTTTACATTACAAAGTCTACTGTGTTCGTGACCGGCTCGGGAAAAGCAAACCACGCATGGCCAGAAGAGCAGCGCTGTGGGTTTTGGTCTAGCTCTATCCCTAGTGACCGAGGAGGAGGCCTTGTCTCTGGAGAACAAAGATTCTGAAGAGAGGTCTTGGAACTCCATGGAGGAATTAATAGCATTGGAGAATGGAATCTGCATGTTTTTATTATATCCTAGCCGACTCTATAAACTAAGGCCTCTGCATGCTGTCAGTCTTTTTATATGGAACAACTCGTAAAATAACTTTCCCAGGGTCATTGCAGTCATGGAGGAAATAAAAAGTAAAGTGCACTTCTCAAACCACTACTCAGCACTCCGTTCTACATGTAAACACTTAAGAAAATAACGAGGTTGTCAGAAAGATCATGACTTTTTTCTGTTTTTCTATGCAAAAATGCATCGACTTTTCTGACAACCCAGTATCTCTGTGTAGGTACTATTGATGATTAGGAAAGTTTGAACCTGCTGGGAAATTATTTGTCCGGAGCAGAAGGCCTGGCTATGGATTAAACTGAGCTGCCGCTGGTTGGTGTGTGGGGATGGGGACCGAGACAACCTGCCGAAGGGGGGCGTCAGCCGGGAGCGCGGCTGCACGGAGGCTCTGCCACGCGGCAGTGGGAAAGCCGGCTCAGTGCACAGAGGGCTTCGAAAGACAAACAGCGCGTATTTATTTCTAGAGATTTTAAAAATAACATTCCAGTATTGCGGGGAGAGTGCGATTTATTTACCGTTCACAGGCAAACAACTGGGAGAGGGGAATTTTTGTTCAACCACACTCGTGATAAACACTGGGGAAGGGATTGCCTTAG